ATATATATATATATATATATATATATATATATATATATATATATATATATATTAGTGCTAATAGTGACACTGTTAGTCACACTCGTAATAGTCGAAATGTTAATTAAAACAGATTGGTGAATGATTATGCGCAATATGGCAGATGAGTTGCAGTGGCGCCGTCTACCATTTTATACTTATACATTGTCAAACTGAACAAAAAAGTACTTTACCTTTTTGTAAATGACCACATAGATTTTTAGATATTAATTACTGAAAATTTGTGCATTATGTTACACAATTATATATATAACAATTTTCTTTAATATCTAAAAATCTATGTGGTCATTTGCAAAATGGTAGAAAACTTTTTTGTTCAATTTAATTTAATGTATAAGTATACAACGGCAGACAGCGCCAATGCAGCTAATCTATCATGTCGCGCGTGATCTTTCACCAATTTTTTTTAATTAATATCTCGACTATTATTGTGAATATCACAAAACGGTATAGGACTTTTATGTTTACGTCGACCCGTTCTATATTCCCACTTAAAGAGAAAGAGAGTGAAAAAGAAAGTGTGGGACACCCTGTATACATATATATTGAGTTTTTTCTCCGCCTATATATTTACTAACACTAATTCTTGTTAAAAATAGACCCCTCATTATATTAGAGAGTACAACAAATGACGGATATAATATAATGTTAGGCCAACTTATCGATATAAATCCATTACATTTCTCTCACGCTGAAATTTTAAGTATATTTTCAATGATGCTCAATGAATTTCTGTGGATTCATGGTTCAATAGTGGGACATATTTATGTCTGTGATGCTACGGGCTTCACAATGGGACATTTAGGACGTTTCAACTTTGCATTACTAAAAAAAGTGTTATGTTTTATTCAAGATGTCATACTAAGGAGTTTTAAGGGAGCTCATCTAATAAATATGTCACCAGCTACCGTAACAATGTACAACATAATTAACGCTATAATACAATACCCAGGCAGCAACGTGACGTGATTTTCAAGTCAATTTTTGGTCATTCGTGATATTAATTATTCTTTTATAATCACGTAATAATAAGGTGAAAATGACCGGACTAATTCACAGCCCACCGACGTTATAATAAAACGTGAAAGTGTCGTAATAAAAAGACGTGTCGGAATATCCTTATTCGGTTCTATTTTCTAACAGAAAGTATTTGTAAATGTCATAGCGTTTGCTGATTTTACTTGAAAATTTCAAATTACTTGATTCCAATGTTACATCACTTTAAATATTCTCACTGGCACTGGGACTCGAGAACTTGGACCATGAGACATCTCTGGATTATGAGCACCCCAAAAAAAAATAATTTTAATAGAAGTGGAATTTTCTCAATCTTAGAGGATTTTACTCTTATATTGGCCTCAAGAGGATTGTTTTGAAATGAAGAGAAAAATAATCTTAAACACAATTCTTAAAGATAGAGGAATTTCATATTGAATGTACAGTGCAAATCAATTTGTTCTTAATCTAAATTTTCTCTTACATATTTGTAACGATCCGCCAAAGTGCGATATCGAAAAAGAAGACGGATCGTCACGAATATTGTTTACGCCGAACAACCGCGGAACAAAGCGGCGAACATCCGCGAAAACAAAAACAGCGAAGATGTTTCCGAAACTCGCGTATAAAAGCCGACGCGAAAACGCCAAAGAGAGAGATCCGTCGAAGAGTTCCGCTGAGACACTCAACCGATCAGAGCTCCTTGCCGAGAAGCCTCTCGACCTCCGCTTCTTAGACTGTTCCATCGACCGAGTTGGATACGCGACGTCGACCACCGTTTCCTAGACCGTTTCGGATCTATCTGTAACGATTGCATCTAGACAACCTTTAAGATTTTAATATTGTATTTAATTTAACAATACTTGTTTATATTTTTTATATAATTTATAATTTGTGGACTTAAATTAAAACATAAATTTTTTTTCTTTTTCTGATTGTCTTTCAGTGTATTTTATTTCAACACTGTCCACATTGTGTTCATTTTATAATCAGTTAACGTTTTCTTTTAGATTACTGAAAAACTGAGACTTTTATTATATATGTCTAGTTGTAATATAATATTCGTAAAGTATTATTTTCGAATTATAAAGTATTTTTCTTTCTACCTTTTATTATCATGTTAAAAATGGCAAAAATTTATTGGGGTCCGCTGGACCCCACTATACCTATAGCTTGACTAAAAAAGCATCATACCTGTTACGGGTTAAGAAACATATTCTTGATAGATTAAAATATTAAAATATGCAAAAAAATATTCAATTTTCTTGACCCATTACATAAGGTGCCTCCCTTAAATCGCGGCTAATTCGCTCCAGACGGAATTGGTCGGCTAAAATTAGAAATGATTTTGCGCTAAATAGGGAGTTACATTTGATTGTATACATTATGTAAATGTCTCTTCCCTATCTATAAATTTATGTCGCGACACGTGATCACGTTAACAATACTTTCATGTCTAGTCGGAGAAATTGCGGAAGAAAACGCTGGCACAGTGAATCTATAAATCGAAGTCACGTTGCATATGCGTGCTCTATAAATCACGCTTTGCAGGGATTGCAAGGTAGGATGTCTCAATTTAAATCTCCAAGCATTTGTGTGCAGATGGAACTCGTTAAACTGAATAGAAAAGTTACCTATCAATTTATAAACTGCTACCATAATTATTGACTTTTTAATGAAAGAGAATCGGCGTGTAAGTGCGTGCGTTGTGATAAGAGCTTGAAAGATATGATAGAATTACATAAGAAAAATCTACGTAATATTTCTGTGTTTTTGATACAAAATGATAAAATTATATAGAATGGCATGTATAGTTAAATGTTTAATCGTTTAGTATAATATTTAAGAAGTTATATAGAATCCCAACAAGAGTGAAAATTAAAAAAAATTTGGGAACTTATAAAAAGTTGTAAATTAATAGGAGTATGAATTATTTGTTATGCATGTCTATTAATAATATCTTGGTTAAAAATAATTGGTTAATAATATTTTAGTAAAAAAATTAGATTTTGTGGCAAATATTAACATCACTGTGTCCATTTTAATTCTATTCTGTAGAAGAATTATACTTCAACGGTTTGACTATTTTTAACAAGATCTGAAATCAGAATCAATATATTTTATATCCATTAGATTTATCCATTAGATTTATTATTATCGGAAACTTTCTGAAAATTTTAAACCATTTTTATTTATTTATTTTACAAACTTTTCAATGAAAAGATTAATTTTTTATAATTTACATTTTGCAAAATATTGTTTCTTTAATTCGCTTTGTGAAACATAACTATCACACTAATAAAAACAAAATTGTATCAACTGATTTTAGATCACTCCTGTTATTTCAGGCCAGGATAGTTACCGTTGAAGCGATACATGATTCTTTTGCAGAACAGAATTAAAATGAATACAGAATGATGTTAATATTCGCTATAAAATTTAATTTTTTAAATTTAATTTTTTATACCAAGATATTGTTAATCAATATATATAACAAACAATTTATACTTCTATTAATTTCTATTAATTTAAAACTTTTTACGATTTTCCAAATTTTATCTCATTTTTACTCCTGTATATCTAAAAAGAGATATTCTACGTACAAAGTGAATTTTCCTCTAACCCTATGTTCTAAAAGAAATATCTTACAGAAAGCATATTTATCTTTCATTAAAGGGAATCACTCATCGTGCATTTATGAGATATTTTCTAATTATGTTCCTCTATATCAAGAGGAATATGTTAATTTGAAGCACAATGCCGTCTTACGTGCAGTACGAGAGACGCGAAGAACTGTTGTTTCGCTACGTACTGTACACGGAAAAAAAGAGATGTGGTACACCTAACAAAAAATATTTAGTTGTAAGCAAATAGCTGCATCATTCTACATATCTTTGTATGATATTTATGTGTATGGTTGATTTCACTTACTTACTTTGGTGTGTCAACTACATCAATGAAGTTGCGTGTGATATCAATGAAGTTGTGTATGTTGTCTAGTTGTGGCAATCAGAAATTAGTAAGGGGATTATTTTACATAGACAAGCTATTATATTAATATTAAGCAATTAGAATATATATACAAACATTATGCTTAGTCATTAGAATAATTGACCATTTATTTTGGAAAATACAATCGTAAGAGCTTGTTATTTATAGTATTCTAATAAAAAATAGAAAAAGACGATATTTTATCCTTCCTCTTTCTCTTTTTTCTTTTTTGATCGGCAATGTAAAAACATTCGTTTGCGTTCGTCTCGATATAAGATGAACAAAATAAACAGAATAGATTAAAAAATTGTAGCTCTTCGACGCGATCAATGACGTACAGACTTTAAATGACGAGAATGTCCGCGTCGTGTATAAAGTATACGCATATTTATTTACTTATTTATTTATGAAGAAAAACTATGGCATACATTCTACGGAATGATAATAGACTATGCATATTTCAAAATCAATTTCGCAAACTGCAAATCAATATTTCTATTTAGATCTACCAAAAAGAGACATTCTATGTTTTGGTTTTGTGCAAAATTTATTTATTTATTCATTTGTGGAAATAAAAAATTCTTTGCTACATACGCTGCAAAACGATAATATAAAAATGTACACTTTTCAAAGTAAATTTCACAAATTGCAAACCAAGATTTATATTTAGACATATCAAGGAGAGACATTCTATGTTTCGGTTTTTATACAAGTTTTATTTGTTTATTTATTTATTTATGGAGATAAAACTCTTTGGTATATACATGTCGCGGAACGGTAGTAATTGCACACGTTTCAAAATCGATTTTGCAAATTGCAAATCAAGATTTATATTTAGACATATCAAGGAAGGATATTTTGTTTCGATTTTTGCACGAAATTTATTTATTTATTTATCTATGGAAATAAAACTCTGGTATATATGTGACGTGAAACGGTAGTAAATTACACACATTTCAAAACTAACTTTACAAATTGTACTAATCAAGATTTACATTTAGATATATCACGAAGAAGATATTCTAGGTTTTGGTTTAGCACGAAATTAAACATATTCGAAATTCCGATCGATAACCGCGCAATAACAATATTATTCTCGTTTAGCTGTGAAAATTAATTGTCTATATTAACATCATTTCACTGTTGCACTTGCATCAATGTATTCGCATTGCCATGAAAACCCGTATACAGGATAAAAAATGCCGTTGTATCAACAAAATCTATCAAGTATAGCGCGAATCGGTCGAGTACCATAATTGGAGTAAATCTTCTTGATTCCATAGCAATGTAATTAAACTAATACACAAAGGTGTGAAAATTATTAGAACAATTTTTATTTCTTTATTCATTTTCTCTAATTGTTTTTTTTCAATAAATGCCTAATTTCAGAAAATATTACAATTTGTTACCAATATTATATATATAATATTTATAAGTTTAAAATGATTACAGATTTGTATTACGTATTGTTTGACTATATCATATAAATAATGACGAATTATTTCACAGAAATAAACTATATATTATATATATATAACTATATATAACTATATATTATAACGATATATATATATATATATAAATTTATATATAAATTTTCAAATATTTTTTCTCTTTTTCTTATTTTCTATAAAAATTTACTTTTACACGCAAAATATATTTTACAGAATCTAATATAATGTATAATATATTTGCATGATATATACAAATTATAATATTTTCTAAAATTTGACATTTATTCAAGAAGAATCATTACTATAGTTGCTATATTCACATATTCTATGGTTAGAAAGAAAATTTATGTGATTTCAAATGAAATAGATATATCATTAAAAACTGCTATTATTATATCCCGATCTATACAGTTTTCACAACTATAGTTTTTATAATACTTAACCCATTACGTCCAAATATGTTGAAATTTTACGTTAACTTGAGCCATTTATTTTACTACGGAAATGAGGTCTATTGTTTATAAAGAGTAACATTCTTAATAATTTCGATGTCGTTCTATCAAATAGCCCTGAAAAAATAAAAAAAAATCGCAATTTATGCAGAATTTTTACAAAATAAAATAAAAAAACGCATGTTTTTAGGGTTAATTTTTTCTTCTTCCGCTATTTTCTCCATAAAAACGTGTTAGCAACGCTCGGGAAAGTGTCTAAAAACGTGTTCTCGACACTTTAAAAATATACTAACTTAATTTAAAAAATATGCTATAGATATCTTTTTCAATAAACATGCCAAAATGACGGTCGATTTGAAGCGTTTAATTCGAATTTTCGAAGTTTATATTTGGTTATCGAAATTGTTTTAGGGTGAACTAAACTGAAATACCCGTACATCGTGGATTAGATTCCATTTCTGGCGACGTTATCGATCATTCACTATAATTAATCGACCGCGAGTGGTCGGTCGGTTTTTAATATTTAACAGGATTCCAATTGTATGGCGGAGCAGAGTCAGGCGCAAATCGAATATGCGGGATAGTGTCCGATATCCAGAAATACGATTTTAATTCCGTACTCTGGGAACACCGCATTTTACATCTTTCCTCTCTTTCTTCTCTTCTTTCCTGCTCTCTCTTTCCTCCCCCTCTTCCTTTCTTCCTCTCCTTCTCTCCTATGCGCTCGCGGGAGAGTATGGATCTTGGAAACTAGTTATACCGCGGACATTGAACTCGCCGATCGATGTCAAAGGGTGGATGCACCCACGAGAGGGCTTACTTTGGAGAATCAATACGTGCAGCGATTATTTGGTCACCGGCCGAATACCTGCATCTGCGACGAAAGGATTTGCCGAGTGCAGAGATGGCCTAATATCTTCCTGGCATAATGAACATGTGTCCAGCTTATCCCACGTTAGACTAGAAAAAAAAAGTATCAGCAGAATTGCCAACAGCATTATAATGGGAATAAATCCTCTTGACACAATAGCAATATTATTAAAACTAATAGTTGAATTATTAATAACACATCTATATTAGTTTCGTATATTATACAGGTGTGAAAATTATTAGAATAATATTGATATCTTTATTAATTTTTTTCTAATTTAGTTAGTATTAATTTAATTCTAATTAGTTATTAATATTTTAATATCGTTCCTTTAAAAATGTACAGCAACCAAAACGCGTCCAAAAATCACTATATGAGTTCTACATCGAGAATAAAGTATTTGATATGGGCGACTATAATTGACAGTAAAATAATTATAATCAACCTAACATACGTACGTAACGTATTGTGTTGTATTCTTGTCAATACAGAAAAAACACTAGGATATCCTTTGCCTGAATATGGTTGCCATAACAAAATGTTAATGTTATTTTTCATCCATATATACAAAATAATTATAGTATCCATAGTATTTTGGAAGTGATACATTAACTTTCTTTAATGCCTCTCGTACGAAAATATACAATAGCAAATATATTTTTTACTGCAGTTTTTTTTTATATTTGTGCTTTGCACTGTTAGAAAAACTAAAATGTCTTTTAAATATTACGTTATTAGGTAGTTTTTAATGTTCTCGAAATAAAAATAGTAACGACAAAAGAATCAACTTTGAGATTCGTGTTTTCTTAGAGGAAATTAAAATAAATAACACATTCACAGATTTACAAAGCTGCTAAGCACTCTAACTCGAAATAAAGAAACAACTTCTGAAAAAGTTCCCTTTTGTTTCTTGTTTATTGCGTTATGTATATTAGAACTATGCTTTGACTTTAATTGTTATATCTACAATTAATATCACGAAATTAACTAGAGTTGACAGTTTAAATCAAGAAAACAATCGTTATGTTAACCAGTGTTATCAGAAACAAAATGTTAATGTTATTTTTCATCCGTATATACAAAATAATTATAGCATCCATAGTATTCTGGAAATGATACATTAACTTTCTTTAATGCCTTTCAGTATTTTCGTACGAAAATATACAATAGCAAAATATATTTTTTACTGCACCACCGAATCACCATTATCATGATAATAATAAAAGATAAATGAAAATAATAATAAAAATATAAACGACAAATAAGCAAATAATCGTGCACGGAGAGAAATAATTTGCTGGCCCAGAAAATTTTCTGCTGGTCTAGCAAAATCTTCTTATTATTATATGGATACCAAAAGATTTGCTAAGAGTACTAATCACTGTTTGCTGAATAATTTGCTAAATCTACAAATTATTTTGCTATAAGAACCACGATGGATTTATATAAACAATTACAGTTTTGCTCCGATAGCAAATAAATTTACTAAGGATACATTATTTTGCATTAATAGCAAATTAACTTGATTCTTAGGACAAATATACTCAACAAATTTTTTCCATCCTGGCAACGAACTTTCTGCTCTGATAACGAATAATTTATAAAATTAGTTACGTTAATTAAATTTTTTTTATGTTACTACGAATATGCAGTAGCAACGACGATTTTGCTAAAAGAGCAAAATTACACGGAAAAAACAATATAGTTGATTAATATAGAAATCTGGTTGTGCCAACCAGATTCAATAGTAAAATATGGAACAACTATTTATATGGTTGCTGTAACCAAAGAGCAATGGCTGAGTTACTTATGTTGCAGCAGTGATAATACATAGTTAATACAAACGCGGTTTATTACGCGGCAACTACAAATGTATATTTATACACTCAGAACTAGTTTTCACATGTATACATCTCTAGCTATGCGCTGAATTGCTTTTGTTTTCTAACATCGCTACTTTGCAACATAGCATTGATTAATGCAACTATATCGATATTTAGCTTGTCTATGCAAAATGATCCCCTTACTAATTTCTAGTTGCCACAACCAGATCACGCGCAACTTCATTGATGTAGTTGACACATCAAAGTAAATAAGTCAAATCAACCATACACATAATTATCATACAAAAATATGTAGAATGATGCAGCTATTTGCTTACAACTAAATATTTTTTGTTAGGTATACCACATCTCTTTTTTCCGTGTATTTTTTTCTATGTGACGTTCAAATTTAATCTCTCTTTTTAGATGCGGGGATTCTTCAAGTCGCAGCTCTCAGCATCTCGTTTCCGTGAACCGGGTTCGTGATAATCACCTGCGTTCAATTCGCGAGGGGGTTGATGTGGCTGCGCCACATCATCAACCCCGTCGCAGCATCCACGGCGGTGCACCGTACTCTCACGTGGACAGCGGAGCATGCGCGCGTTCCACGCTTACCTGCAAATGTATAAAAGACTGCTTGACGAGCGCATCGGGCTCAGTTTGACCCCGTAGCCCGAAGGAGGTCGTCCTGCCGAGCAGGAAGAGCATCCCGACAGCTAGACGACTTGATCTTGAGCGAGCAGTCGCGGTCGATCAGTCAATTGGCCGGTCGCGCGAGAAAGCAGTGAACAATTGACGGGAACAGTGCGAGAATTCCTCGTGACGCATAACGAGTGCTCTCTCGTCTACTTCCCAGCCTAGATCCCAGCGCGGCTCCACGCGGAAGATACGCGCGGAGAACAACGCGATCCACCACGGCTGGAATAGTCGTACACACGGTGGTGCAAACGGCGTCCGGTTGGCAATTAAGATATACGGTTGTGGAAGTGTGAACGCACGGTAGAGGGGACATTTCGACGCCAACTTTGCGAAGTAACATCCGCGAGATCGTCGGCGTATATAATCGCACAATATATGCACGGAGGCAAGCGATCTAGAGCGGCCAGTAACGCGCGACGAGTGTTATCGTCTCGCATCATCGCATCCGGATCACCTTTCCGTGCGCGTACATAAGCATACGGAGTGCTGACCCTCCGTCCGCTTTTGAAAGCGCGCGAGATCCTGAGCCAGGGTCATGGAGGACTCCACGCGGCTGACCGAGCTGAGCGACAGCCGCCAACACCATCACCGGCGTCACTACCATTACCATCATAGTCACCACCATCGTGGTAGAACGTCCGTGAGCGAATTAGGCGACGACGAGTGCAGCACCGACAGCGGCTGCAGTAGTGGCGGCAGTACCAGCAGCGGTGAACGCCTGTCTCGTCGGGACAGCGACGAGTGGCCCGGCAGGTCGGCCAGGTCGCTAAGAAATCACTGCTACCTGGAACGGCTGCGGGCGACCGGACGGTCGACGCGGTCACAGGACCGCGGCGACGGCGTGCAGCGTTCGTCGGAGCGCGCCTGGAGCCCGGAAGGCGTGAGAAGTTTACCCCGAGGGGGCATCTCGCCCTCGTCTTACTCCTCCAGCCCGTCGGACGCGCACAGCGGCAGCGACAGCGACTTCGCCAAGAGACTCTTCACCACGGAGACTCTAAGACGGGCGTTTCAAAACCTGAAGATCACCTCGTCCAAGTGGGACAGCGCGAAGGAGAAGAAGCAGGCGAAGAAGAGCCCGAAGAAAATCCTGCGCAGCCCGGTATCCTACATGTACGTGCGGGGTCTGTCCGGCCTGCCAACCCAGAGAGTCCCCAGAAACGGCTTCCAGCAGATACAGCCTTGCTCCTGCCAAGACTTGATCGGCCTCTATCGGTAAATCCTGGTGTCAAAAAGAGAGAGGGTGATGGGGGGCTGAGAGGAAAAAGAGGGCTTGTCTGCGGGAGGACGGCGCGAGTCACCAGGTCATCAAGTCATCTGCCAAAAGAGAAGACCAAGGCAGAAGGAAGGAGAAAAACTCGTGTTAGGGAACACGACGAAGTGTCAATCTCCTCGTCGTGATCTCTCCTCGCTGGTTTCCGCGCGCGAATCTCACCGCTGCTTCCAGACTCTTCGTAGGTCTTCTCACCGACCTCTTGGTTCATCCACGCGAATATCCTTGACTTGCGAGGCGCATTCTTGCATTGCAAAGTAGCACAAGTTCTCGATCCACTCCCGAGAAGTTCGACTAGGGCAAAACACTTGGCTATTGACATTCCCTTAGTCACTGACATTTTAAAAATATCTGGTTTTTCTTGCGACGAGCGACATTTGTTCGCTGTTATACTTGTGAAGTTAATTAAAAGATCCTCTTTTGGGATCGCTCTTTTAGAGCGCAGAACAGAAGTTTAACTGCGACGTTGGTCGCAAGAAAAATTAGATTTCCATAGAGTGTCAATAATTGGGTGCTTTACCCTAGCACTATTGCGATGTGTTCTCCAACGAAGCGTAAAAAATGGAGAATGTCTAGCCATATGAGCATGCAGACTGATAGATTTAATGTACATTCATTCGTACGTACACACTGTCGTTGATCAATAAACTATGTAGGATTTTATTCGGTCAAGCTATTATCTCTTCGTTCTGTCTCGCGCGAGAATCTCCAGCGCCGACTACGAGAGATTTTCTAATGGACGTTAAGAGAATACCACACAAAGTGGATGACGAATTCCAAAAATGTCGATAACGTAGAAGTGATCGTCAGGCGTGAAGAATCATGCAAATGAAGCATATCACTATTCCAAGCTTCAGTCCTTCACACTTTCTCCCCTTTCTCACGAGAATATTCGGCGTTATTAGCTTTTGAAGTAGAGTTTAGCCATCGGAATGTTAAGAATGTTAAGAACTTGTGTCAAAAAGAAGAAAAATTCAAGAGTTCGGATTTCGAGTTTCCGAAGTGTCATCGAATGAGACACTGAGGAGACTTCTTTCGAACCACCGTACATTTTGCGCGACGGTATATATACTTGGTTTCCAAACTATACTTAGTTATTTTACTTATTTAACTATATTTTGTTTGAACACTTTTCTTCAATACAATTTAGAGCATAGCTCACTGGTCCGAAAAAAGGGCAATAAGAGCTAGTTGCAGGTTTAATTTGCATATACATATACTGTATACTACATACAGGTGCAAATTATTTATATAATTAATATGCAAAATTATATAAATAATTTGTACCTATGTTTGTTGTATGTTTGTTATATGTGTTTATTATGTTTGTTGTATGTGTGTTACAAGATATATATGCAGTATATATAGCTTAAATATATATGTATATATATATATATATATATATATGTGTGTGTGTGTGTATATATGTATATAAATACATATATATGTACAATATATATATATATATATATATATTTAAAAAAAATATATATATATACATATATATTTATATATATATATATATATATATATATATATATATATATGTATATGTATATGTATACATATATATACAAGGTGTCTAAAAATTTAAGATATATCCGTCGAGCAAATTTCGCAATAGTTGAACAATATGTGGGAATGAGAACATGACTAGACTTAAATTAGTTATTGAGGAATCAATTAAACAATATAAGCGCAGAGAGAGTTTAATTTCTTCCGAATTAACCGGGAACAAGTTCTCTCATTGGGCCATCGAGAAAAAAGTATCTACACCGTTTTGAAACCAAGTGCCCAGGTACATTCTTTATACATCTTTTCTGTTCCACATGTGTACATGTGTAGCCGATCGGCTGATTACACTATTTGACTTTATTTTGCCCTACAAGAGTGTGAACAGTCACATTAAAATAATATCATAAATAAACTTAATCAATTTTATATGCGTGCGTTTGTCTTTATTTTGAATAATAACATAATCTGTATTATAAAGCATGTGAAACTACTAGTAAGTACTACTAGTAAGTATTTTTTATTTACTTAGTTTTTATCTTACTTATTAATTATATTATATAAGTACAAAAAGCTCTTACTTTCTGTACAATATAATATTAAGAAATAATTAAATAACTTTTTCCATTTATGACATAGGAAAAAAATGGCCAACTTTGAATAACTATATCTCCAATTCAAAAAATCGTACAGCAACGAAATTAAACGCATTTTAAAGTTTAAAGTTCATATTTTCTTATGTCGTTAATTTAAGAAAAAATATTTTTATTACTACTTTAATGTCATGAAATCCTTCAATATCGTCGTTTTTTGCCCACTTTACTCCATTTTTCCTCAAAATCGTATAATAACCAAATTTAGTCCACGGACTTATGTTTAGCGATAAAAAATAAGTATAAAAGTATAAGAAAAGAAATATTCACTCTCGTAGGGCAAAACAAGAGGTCAAGATTTGTCGAACAAATCGTTATCAATTACGTAAGTGCAGCGTATTGAGCTGATCGGGCTAATTGGCTGACGTAATTGCGCAACGTGTAATTATTATTGTCAGCGAGAAGAAGCGCGCGTCACAGATGTGTTTTCAAAAGGAAATCCGCCCGACTGGCGGGAACTGATTAATCCTAAATAAAAAGAAAGAACGGTACAAAACATTAAAAAAGAACAGAAAAATATAAAAAAAATGAAAAATGGAAAAAAAAACAGTAGTTAAAAGGTTACACTTGCGTACAAGTCGCGATCTACGTGAAAAAGGAAAGAGAGAGAGAAAACGAGAGAATGAAAAAGCGAGAGCAAAGAGAGAGAGAGAGAGAGAGAGAGAGAGAGAGAGAGAGAGAGAGAGAGAGTCCGCCAAATTCCCGAGTTGGGAATCAACGTGTGAAAGAACGTCTGTGCGATTCATCTCTAGTGCCTTGTAGATATTCCCGACACGTGATTGTACGATTAGGTGTTATCAATGAACGAGGAATGTTTTGTATCGTTTTATCTATGTCGAACATAATTTACGTTACAAATAAACGTTTTTCATTCTAGCCCGTAAATTTTTTTACCTTCCCCCGCCTACCCGTCACGTATTTCTTACCTTACTTAGCAATAAGATAATGATTTCGTTTTTATAAAAAATCTTATTATCTTATTATCTTATTATTTAAAAAAAGTTTTATCCCTTCCATGTTCAGATGCGTTTTTCTCGAAACAATAACCAGAGCGATAAATTTACTCAGATAGACTTTCACGACATGAGACAATCGATAATAAAAACTTTGTAATTGTTTAAATTGCATTTATAAGATAAATATTGTATTGTAGTGAATTAATCATTAAATTTATGTTGTACAACAATGTCAATGTTTTGTTATATCTTGATGCAGCAACAAATTTAAATTCAGAATTCACAATTCAGAATTTACATTCAGATTTGCATTTTGCATGATACATTTTAAATAAATTTTGATTGTTTCTTTTCTTTTCCATTTCTTTAATTTCTTTTATATACCTATTTTATCATTCATGATAAATATGAAAACTATATAAGTAACTTATAACTAAAGTTAGGAACGTTACTCAAAAAAAGTAAAGCGTTCCCGTTACTGTTATTAAGAAAATAACGGTTCGTTACTTTTTTATTTTTTTATAATACTAAAATAAAATATGTAGTTTTTTTTAAATAAAATTATTTTTTTAAAATTGAATTATTTTTAGTGCAGCTAGTTCATCTAAAAAAAACCAACCATTCAAGATTGCAATAATCCTAACTCTAAGAACTAATATTTCTTTATGAATTTAATTCTATCTTCTTGTTTTTTATTATTTCCCATACAAAAATTATTGTTGAAGCAGATTTTACAATTTGGCCCTTAGAAATTTTTAATAAATGTAATAATAGATATTTAATAATAAGTATTAAATAATTGTAATGCACACACTTATTTCATGGTTTCTTACAAAAAAGAGTAAATTACACTAAGCATACCCATTATTAAATTCATTAAAAAATTTTAACAGCTAAATTACAAAATCCGACTTTCCATTAACAATCATTTTTACATGAAGAATAAGATAAAACCACATACTGTCTTTCAACAAGAGATATTTCTATATATCCAATCAAGAATAATACATGTTATTAGCGCGCGATCGGCGCATCATCTATTGAATAGAGATGACTAAAGTAACAATAAAAGTAATGGTGGAATTCGTTACCATTACGTAAAAATATAACGATGTTATTGTTACAAACAGAAAAAATAACATTATTGTTACTGAAAAAAGGTAACAATGTTACAAGTAGCGCGTTACTTTCCCACTCTGTTCATAAGAGATACAAATTATACAAATTGACTAGCAAAATTGCTAAATTTACCTATCTATTGGGATAATCATCATAAAATAATCAAATTATTAACGTATTGAATATTGGGACAATTACTTCTGATCAGTATTATGATACGTCTCGTTAAGCTACGTATAAAGTATAATTAATCGCATTTGTGAGAACTCAGTTATACTCGGTCAATGGAGTTCCAATAAAACGCGGTAGACGATATATGTCACTCGAATTACATTCATTCATCGTATCGTAGGTAATTCGACCGTCAATTAAGCTCGAGTATAACCAATGAAAATTAATTGGAAAAATTATATTTGTACACATGCAACTATTTTTCGGAAAAAAATGATTCTACATCAGTAAAATTGGAAAACAGTGCCATAATTGAAATCGATCTCCTGTCTTTTAGTAAAAAATACAGGAAAGAAAACAACAAGAACTAATTGCAGATTATTATATGAATGATTTACGTACTTGAATACGGTGTAGCATAAATATATGTAAATTAGACTTATAATTGATACTTACCGTTCTTTTAATGTTAATGTCAATAATATCGAATGTTAATTTTAATAATATCGCAATCGAATCAAAAATATTTATTTTAATTATAACGCTGTTAATTCTATTTATAAGTAGAATTTAACATTTTTTTTCTAAACAATTTTATGATTATTACAACGTGAAACAATCCATGATAGAAACTCTACAATTTCTTAAATTATACTTAATAAAGCAAGTATACTATATTGAATTATATTTGCATCATACAAAATAATGTAAAAGTTTTGTTATATTTATGCAGTTACTAAACTGCAAAAATTTACTAAAAATTACATTTAGATTTTTATCTTGTATTTCACATAATATATTGTTTGGGGTAAATGTTGATCATTTTTTTATATTTTACTCCTATTTATATTTTGTTAATCTATGTCATAAATGAATACCATTTAAAGCACTTATAAGGGACTTAAAGCACTCAATCTTTACAAATTGACTAATAAAGTTACTACAAAATTTGTATCTACCTGTCTATATCTGTCTATCTGACTGTCTTTACAATATATATTAGGACCTTAACTTAGTTTCCGCCCGCAAATGTTAGATGGCAATGCAAACAGTTCTAGTAGTCATTACTAACGAAACAGGTAGTTTGTGATTAATTTCGACATTTCTCGATAACATTCAGTCAGCATACACAATTATTTTCCTAAACA